GTAAATCAAAGTCCACAAACAATCAAAACTTCACAAGTCAATCTAAGTCCAACATCCAACATGGTTCTAAAAAAAAATTCTAAAAAGTTAATCAAAATTCACAAACAATCCAAAAGTTTAAAAAGTTAATCTACTTATCAAACTCCACAATAATTTCAACTCTTCACAATTGCTTCAACCAAACTCAATAAGCAAAAAAAAAAAAACATAAATAAATAACAAAAAAGTCATCAAAATCATTATAAAAAAAAAGCAATACAACAAAATAATATTCAAGAGTAAGAATTAAATCTAACCTCAACAAGTTTAAAACCAAACTAACTTAGTGACAAATTAGTCCTCAACAATAGTTGCTTCTTGTGTAGTAGATGATGCAAAAAATTCTAAAAAATAAAAAATATTTTTAATGTTATTCAAAATTACATAAAAGCTAAAATCAATATTGAATAATTAATTTAAAATAAACACAAATCAAAAAAATTACCTGACTCAATTTCTTCATATTGTGCAACATCATCCATACATTCTCTAAGATTGATTAGAATTGATGAAGACCGTAACCAATTTTGTGCACAAATTAGAGCCTCCACCATCTTCGGCGATGTGTGTGTGTGAATTGATGCAATGTTGTTCACAGCAGCGACGGGGATGTGTGTGTGAATGAGATAAAATTGAAATGTGTAGGTATTAGGTTTAATGGAGGAATTATTGTGTGTGTATGTGAGTGTATATAACATGTGAATTTTTTTTTTTTTTGAAACATAGGCGGATCGGGTTGGGAAATTTCACCCGCCGCCTGCGTCGACCCACCAGCACTGGGCCTCCCACCTGCCCAACCGGCCCGCTAGAGTTGAAATTTTGCATGGTTCGTTGCAGTTCGAAGTAATTCAGTACAGTTTTTGCGGTATTATGCACAGCCCCAGTGAAGACACAAAAGCTTAGGTTAAAAAAAGAAAGAAGAGGAAATTCACTCACAAACCCGTGAGATTAAGGTTTTGTTTGAGAACTAGAGTTTTTAATCAAAAAGATATTATAAATTGTTACACAATTTTCTTTATTTTTTTCTACACATCTTTTATAAAATATCAAAAAATTAACTAAAATAGTTAATACCCAAACAGAGCAAAGCTAAATTTTTCAAAATCTCTCACAACCAGTAGGAATGGCAACGGGCCGGGGCGGGGCCGGGGATGACACTCCCCGTCCCCGATCCCCGAAGGTAGAAAAATCCCCGTCCCCGCCCCCGATCCCCGACGGGGAACCCCTCACCTCCCCCACCCCCGTCCCCTAATGGGGATCGGATTTCTCCGACCCCGAAACATCCCCGGCAGATCTGTTCAACACACAACCAAAAAAAAAAAAAATTTCTGTAGAATGGAGGCTTCATGGTTCATGATCTGTTCTTCAACACACAACAATCATCAACAACAACAGCAAATATATATAACTTAAAAAAAAAAATGTTCTTCAACAACAAATATATATATATATATATATAATGTTCCAGACCCCCTTTTTCCCCAGTCACAGAGATACATACTGATCTGTATATGTAACACACATAATCAACATCAAAAAAAATAGATCGGTATATGTAACATACAGATCTATGTATCTGTGTCAGAAAGAGAGAGAGAGAGGAGGCCGATCGCGACGCCGCGACGCCGACAGTGGCGATGAGCGACGGAGGAGGCAGATCTATGGCTGTAAAGGATGGAGGAGGCCGCTCGCGACGCCGACAGTGGCGATGAACGACGGAGGAGGCCGATCTGTGGTTGTGAACGACGGAGGAGGCCGATCGCGAAGCCGCGACGCCGACAGTGGCGATGATCGACATCGTGAACAGGGCCAAAGAGAGAGAGAATAGAGGGGGTAGAGAGAGAGAGACGGAAGACAACTGGATGAGGGTTTGGTTAGCGACGGAGGAGGCCGATCGGCGGAGGAGGCAGATCTGTGGCTGTGGACGACGCTGTGAATGACGGAGGAGGCAGATCGCGATGCCGACAGTGGCGATGAACGACGGAGGAGGCCGATCTGTGGTTGTGAACGACGGAGGAGGCCGATCGTGAAGCCGCGACGCTGACAGTGGCGATGATCGACGTCGTGAACAGGGCCACAGAGAGAGAGAGTAGAGGGGGTAGAGAGAGAGAGACGGAAGACAACTGCATGAGGGTTTGGTTTGGTTACTGTGTGTCTATATATATATCTAGGGGTAAATTAGTAATTTTAATTCGGGAAAAAACCGGGCCGGGCCGGGTACGGGGTTGGGATACTTATCCCCGTCCCCGGCCCGAATCTGTTCGAGGATTGATTTTTAAATACCATCCCCGTCCCGTCGGGAGTATTTTTTGGAGAAAATCCGCACAATTCGAGATAGGGGGGTCGGGTCCCCATCGGGCCGGTTTCAAATTACTATCCCTAACAACCAGAGAAGATAAATGCAAGAAATAAATAAATCATTAGCTACCCATATCGGTATGCGCAAAATCTAGCAACCTTTCATTGATGATTTAGGCATGACTTCCTTGACCTATTTGAAAGATTTCAGCATACCAACAAACAATGAAGTACTACCCTGGTGCCAGAGTTTGACTAAGTACATATGCACAGGGAGAGAGAGAGAGAGAGAGAATGAATCAGTGAAAAACAGAGAGCTAGTACAATGCTCTTTGAACATAAAACAACATAAATGAATACAACAATGATTCATCCCCTTTTCCTCCCACCCCTTTTGACCCCCTCTCTTTCTCATTGGTTACATTTTCTTTTTCTTTTTCTTTTTTTTTTCCTGTTCCTCCAATCACCACCCGCCACGTGGCAAAAGGGGGGTGAGAGGGTGACCCCAAAAGGGGATCCCAAGCATTATTCAAATGAATAACCTCACGAGTCACTTATCTAGAAGATCATGCTGCAAAGATAAACTAAAATAAAAATAAAATTGTTCTCTGACAAAGAGTTATGCGGCTATCTACTCAAAACCGTGGGTAATTAACCAATAGCTTCACATGAATCCTTCAAACAAGTTGGAGAGAGATAGAGAGTATGATATGATCTCGGACCTAGCCTTATTATTAGGGCATACCTTGGTCGCATTGGCCAACCACCAAATTATTACAAGAAAAAAAAATAATATCATCACTGAAAAATTCAATCATGTCTTAATATATTTTTAATTATTAAATTATATAAAAATCTTGAGGTATATGAATTTTGAGAAATAATTTAATAATTAGAAGTGTATTAAGACAAAAAAATAAAATAAAATGGGCATACGATCTTGTGGCATATTACTTAGATAAAACAATACATAATTCTGAAAACATGTAATCTTTTGTCCCTAAATTATTATGTCTCCAACTTTAATACACACTTTTAATTATTAGTTTATGTAAAAATCTCGACGTTCATGAATCTTAAAAAATAATTTAATAGTTGGAGGTGCTTTGACATAGAGGGCAAGAAGGGCAAATTGAGGTATATGAATTTTGAGAAATAATTTAATAATTAGAAGTGTATTAAGACAAAAAAATAAAATAAAATGGGCATACGATCTTGTGGCATATTACTTAGATAAAACAATACATAATTCTGAAAACATGTAATCTTTTGTCCCTAAATTATTATGTCTCCAACTTTAATACACACTTTTAATTATTAAATTATGTAAAAATCTCGACGTTCATGAATCTTAAAAAATAATTTAATAGTTGGAGGTGCTTTGACATAGAGGGCAAGAAGGGCAAAGCATCCTGTGCCATGTCCTTCAACTCAAAACGTGTCATACTTTTTAAGGCATAGATGCTCTGTTCCTAAATTCTTTGGTCCCCACCTATCTCAATGCCCCTTCAACTATTAGATTATATGAAAATTTCAACATACTTAAATCTTGAAACACAATCTAATGATAGGAATAGAACAGAATGACAAAAAATATTGTGTCACGTTTCTCAACTGAAAATAAGTTATATTTTTTGGCGCACAAAATCTTTTGTTCCAAAATTTATCTCACATTCTAATATATTTCCATTCATGTGATTGTATCTCAAAATTGTCATTATATAATGCATTAAAAAATGGGGCTGGCTTTCTTCCGGTCCGTAATTGGACTAGAGGGTACTGTCGGGCCCGTGGAGGCCCATCATGGGTCTCGTTTTGATAATCTGAACCGTCAATGTGTAGAATTCGTCGAGTATATGCCTGTAAAAAATCACGTTGATCGGATATCGATAGCTACGTGATCAAATCAATTTTATATATATAAAAAAAAATGAGCGGTGAAAAAAAATACTTGACAAGTTCTACACATTGAACTGTTCAAATTATCGAAACGAGACCCACGGATTACAGAGAAGCCCAGCACTTAAAAAATGTATGAGATAAGGGGGACAAAACTTTTGGGAAGAGAGAGACCTTGGACATATATGGTCTATATAGGCTGCGCATGATATGATTCGGGTCGTTTAATAGTAAAATTATAAATTGAATGGCGGATTGATGAATAGGTGGATTGACAAATTGCTGTTTGGATAGTTTTGAGCGGATTAACGGATTGAAAAATATTCTAACAAATTATCAAGTATATGCTTAATATATAATACTAATTTACATAATATTTTTCATATATATAACACAAACTAATTTTATATAATATTTTTCATGTGTGTAACTATTAATTTGTTACAAATTTCACATCTTAAATTTCTTTCACACTTATTTTTATTTTGATGTTTTATTAAAGGTTAAAAAATATATATGTATTAACTATAGCGGAGCGGAACAATTTCGAGGGCAAATTATAAAATTTAAAGTTTAATCTGCAGTTAACAGATTGAATGGTACGAATTGATGCACATCAATACAATTTTAATAAATTAGACGGTATTTTGCTGAGTAATAACTCTATATATAAACACATACTTGGGCAACCATATTCAACACCACTGAAGTATTGCTCTATTGTTTTATCAAACACATTGCAACCATCTTCACTCTAGAAGATCATGGGGATTCGTTTGCCCACGTTTGTTCTTCATGCCAAGCAAATTCTCAAGCCAAGGTCTCTTCACAACCAGTACTCATCTTCTCCGGTGGCGACAACATTGGATGCCCCAAAAGGTCATTTTGCAGTTTATGTGGGAGAGAAGGGAAAAAACCGGTTTGTGATTCCATTGTCATACTTGAAGCACCCTTTGTTTCAAGATTTGTTGAGGAAGGCTGAGGAAGAATATGGGTTTGATCATCCTATGGGTGGTCTCACCATTCCATGCAGTGAAGATGCCTTCCTGAATGTTGTTTCTCACTTGAGTCATCACTACTAATCAAGGAGTGTTCAATGCTGGGGATCAATAATTCAAATACGGAAAAGTATAAGAAAAGTAATATATGGCGTGAGTTTCACAATTCAAAACTTGCGTCTGGACCATATACTATTTTTCTTCATATTTTTGTGTACCTGATTTTTTAGTCTCGAACATTAATGGGGTTGAATATTAAGTTGTTAATTTCTTAATTGGGATGTAGAGTGAGTACTCCATGTAGATTGGGAAAAGTAGAATTGTTGCCCCTTGTAACCAATTTTGGGACACTGTTTCTCTTTAGTTGGGTTTCTGTGGGCTCATCACAGCGTCGCCGTCGATAATATAAATTATTCAATATTTAGGATTCGTCGAGTATTTTATCCATGGAAAAAATCTCAAATATCAATGGTTGCCTGATCAAATCACATTTGTGTCAACAATTTATTTTTAAAATCATAGTTATTATTAACACAAATTTGTTCTAATTAAGTGACTATCAATATCCGATCAATATTATATTTTGCAGAGATAAAGTACTCGACGAGTCCTAAACAATTAAGGTTTGAATAATCGATGTGGACTCTATGGTAGACCCATGAAATCTAACAACACATTCCAATCCAATTTCAAATTGGGGAGAAACCTCGGCCCAATTTTGTATCCTCTTGTAAATCTCTTACTAATTTTGTATTGGAAAATCTACATGCTATTCATTCTCTTGGGAAAAGCTTAGTAATATTAAAACTAATCAATATAGGAAAATGATACGTTTATAGAATTTTTGTATTTTTATTTTCTGAAGTAATGTTAGACATTCATAATTTTGGACTTGATTAATGATTCGTCTACCGAATTGGGTTATTTTGAATTCATCAAAATGAGTCTCTTCTCGAAAAGAGACTCTTGTGTACAACTCTCTTTTCAAAAAAAGACTTATTCAAGTGAATTGAGGCTAAACAAATTTGGTAGATATAGTGATACTGTTTAGACTTACAAATTCAACCACATAATGATGTAACAAAAGAATTAAACCTTATATTGTTAGATATGCAACTAATCAAAAATTGACACCTCGCATTTACACTTGCGAACGTGTGGGGTGGTGTGGTTGGATACGTGCCACACATGCATGATAGCTACTCACAAGTGTAAAGTGTGAATACAATTGTTGAGATTTGATATAAGGATAGTAACAACAATTTCATGAAATATTATTCTAGGCCTGATTGCTATGTCCTGCAATACGGTGCTAGGTAGGGATGTAATCGGTTCGGGACGGTCGGTATTTAGATGGAATTTTGCACCGAATCGATAATGTCGGTTTTATTATATTAAAAATCAATACAGACCAAATTTTTTATCAAACTGCACCGATTCAAACGGTTCGACTTAATGCGGTTTAATCGGTTTAAGTACTTTTAAAATTGAGTCATTTCTTAAATCTGTAGTATAATAAATAATTTATATAAAAATATTAAGTTATCCATTTGTACACAATTTTAACCATATCTAATCCAACCATTCACAAAAACACAAACAAAAAAAATAATAAATACTAAGGCTTGAAGCTTTTACTGAATTAAAATTAGAAACAAAATAAAATCTAAGAACCAAATTGGCAATATTATTCATTATATATTTAATATATATTATATGTAAATATATTCGGTCGGTTTCGGTGCAAATCGGTGTATAGTACATCAAAACCGATATCGAACCGAAAACCGAAAAAAATTAATCTCTGAAACCGAACAGACCGATTCACATTAAAAAACCGACCAAATATGACCGGTTCGATCCGGTTCAATCAGTTTAGTCGGTTTTTTCGGTTTTTCTTACATCCCTAGTGCTAGGATATGATCTTCAAAAAATTCACCAAATTTTTTTTTTTTAAAAATTGGAAAATAAACTTTTTGAGAGTTTAAATTTTTTTTTTCTTTTTTCATAACAAGAATAATGTGATAGTGTCATTTTTTAAAATACAAATATATTCGGTCGGTTTCGGTGCAAATCGGTGTATAGTACATCAAAACCGATACCGAACCGAAAACCGAAAAAAATTAATCTCCGAAACCGAACAGACCAATTCACATTAAAAAACTGACCAAATATGACCGGTTCGATCCGGTTCAATCAGTTTAGTCGATTTTTTCGATTTTTCTTACATCCCTAGTGCTAGGATATGATCTTCAAAAAATTCACCAGATTTTTTTTTTTAAAAAAAAATTGGAAAATAAATTTTTTGAGAGTTTAAATTTTTTTTTTCTTTTTTCATAACAAGAATAATGTGATAGTGTCATTTTTTAAAATACAAATGAGAAAATTATCAATAAGTCCTATTTTGCTCTAAAGAAGGTTTAATTTTTTACAAAAGGTGTAAGTGTAAGGTGTAAGTGTAAGGTATAAGGTGTAAGGTATAAATTGCACACCATAGACAATTAGGTCCTACTTATCATAAAATATTTCCAAAAGGTTCATTCCTTCGTAATGATGCATCTTATACCAATTTTACCCTTTTCATTTAATATGAATAATAATTTTAACTTAATTAAAATTAAAATTTTTAATTAAATAAATTATTAATATTATATTAAAAAATCATAAATAACAATTAATTGGATCAAAACATTTATACTATAAAATGTATCATTTTCTTATTTTAAATTATGAATTTGTTTTAGTGTAAACAATCTAAAAATGCTAAATTCTATTAAAATTTTCAAAGAGTTATGAAAAATAATATTATGACAAATTTATATATTTCTCAATGTATGAAATAATTGATAAATCTTATTATTATGCTTTTGTTTATGAAAATTTATTTAATTTCAATAATTAAAAAAATATTTTTTTAATAAAATTTTAAATAAATTAAGGTTATTTATGAAATTTTTGGTTCATATTTTAATCAGAAAGATAAAATTAAAATAAAATATACTATCATGAATAATTAAAGTTTTTTTATAAAAATTTATAAAATAAAAAGGAAAATAGGACTTATTTGTCAATATTGAAATTTGACATAACTTAATAGTAATTTTCAAAACAAAATAAAACTTATCGATAATTTTTCCATTGTTGTTTATAATTTTTTTAATACAATATTATAAATTTTACAATTAAAAAATAAAATTTTACTTAGACTAAAAATATTTATGAAATTGTTGTTCATATTAAATGAAGGATAAAATTGGGATACCATATACCATTATGGAGAAATGAACTTTTTTGAAATATTTTATGAAAAATAAGACTTAGCTCTCCATATTGAAACTTGATAAGACTCAATAGTAATCCTAACAAGAAAATATGACTTATTGGGAATTTTTCCTATATAAATCATCTAATAAATCATTTGCTTTAAATTAAGTAAAATTAAAACTTGTCGTGTCATTCTGTATTTGTTTGTTTATTTGTTTATTTTTTTGTGTATCGTACTGCTCCTAACCAATATGCCAATAAACATACCAATTAAGAGATGCAATAAATACATGTGGGTTTCATCATTTGACATATGACCATCTGTAATTGTATCTAATTGATATGTTTGTTAATATATTTCTAATGTTATCGGGAAAAACTAGGCCTCCAAAACAATTATATAAAAAGTTTTACAAAATAAACTATGTGATGTAGATTTAAATTTGATTTATAATGGGGTGTTTGTTACAACTTAAGAGAGGTATTTATAACTTATTTTAATTTGAGAGTTTGTGTCAGTTTGTTTGATACAAATTCTGTTTATAATTTATTAAGTAGAAATAACTTAAATAAACTAAAACAAAATTAATTATTTAAAAACTAAAAAGAAGATATTTTTAAATTTTATTTTTTAATTATCAACTTTTAAGTTTAAATAATCTATGCCAAACATTCTCAATAAATCTGCTCCATCTACAAAAGTTGTTCTTGCCGATAAACTTTTTCACCTCATACTTCATGTATGTCATCCATGCCGTACATGGTTTTGTCATCTTTAATAACAAAGAAATTCAAATCCTAACCTTACTCTCATATCACTTGTTAGATGATCTTCAACTCTTAACTTTTATCCATTATCAAATTTAAATTTGAGTAAAATAAATTTTTTAAAACTCTCTCCACTACTTTACATAAATGCATATAAAATTATGTTTACACAAAATTTTTAAAACTACCAATAAAAAATGCAAGACAATTGATAACGTAAGCCAATCATAAAAATATACTCAAAACATTCACGTAGGTGTGAGCATAGAGCCATTCATGTGAGTTTTTATTTTTTATTTTTTTATTTCTTAATTAGGATGTAGAGTGAGTACTCCATGTAGATTGGGAAAAGTAGAATTGTTGTCCCTTCTAACCAATTTTGGGACACTTTTCTCTCCAATTAGGCTTCTATGGACTCATCACAGGGTTAACATCGATAATTCGAACGGTTTAATATTCAGGATTCGTTGAGGACTTCATCCATGTAAAAAATCGAGTTAATCAAATATCAATGGTCACTTGATTAAATTACATTTGCGTCAACAATTTATTTTTAAAATCATAGATATTTTTGACACAAATTTGATCTAATCAAGTGATTATCAATATCCAATCAATGTTATGTTTTGCAGAGATAAAATACTCGACGAGTCCTAAACAATGAATGATTCGAATAATCAATGTGGACTCCATGGTATACCCACAGAGCCTAACAATACATTCTAGTCCGATTTCAAATTGGAGAAAAACCTCGACCCAATTTTGTATGCTCTTGTAAATCTCTTACTAATTTTGTAGTGGAATTTTAAGGAAAATAATGACTACATGCTATTTATTCTCTTGGGAAAAGCTTCCTAATATTAAAACTAATCAACATAGGAAAATGACATGTTTATAGAATTTTTGTATATTTTTTTTTCCGAAAATAATGTTAAAAACCCATAATTTTAGACTTGATTAGTGATTCATCCATCAGATTTGTTTAGTCTGAATTCGTCTGAATAAGTCTCTTCCCAAAAAAAGACTCATGTGTGCAAGTCTCTTTTAAGGAA